TTAAGGGTTCTATTTAGGTCTCCCTAACTTCTGTATTTGACATAGTGACTTTTGCAAAGTATCAATTAATAAATGTTGAACTAAATTGAGTTAAATTATCACTAGACTATTAAACATAATAGACAGCTGACAAGAAAGTATATAACATTTTCTCTACTCAGCTATGAGCAGGATCATTGAAATCACAAGTTAAGACTGCCTAAACTGAGGAACCCTATTGACAGAATATAAAGTTACTATGTCTAAGATTAAGAAGACAACAATCAGACTACAAATTTTTGCTGCCATGGATCATACACTCTTTGACTCCTCTCCTTTCCCACTTTCATCTACTTGCTCTTAGTCACCTCAGGAATATGTGAGATGAGATCTAAATAAGTGTTACTGCGCAGGATTTTTATTCTCAAGAGCAAATAAACATTTAATGAAAACCTCTGATATTCTGTATTGATTTCACTAAGAATGATCATAATGACAGACCTAAAGCAAAGATTATTTACTGTAACTGTAAATAATGCTAACCTCAGAGTATGACAATGTTATTTCCATTTATCTAAAGTTCGATGACCAAGTAATAAATCAATCAGCAAACATTTACTAAACACTTACTATGTGCCAGGAACTGTGCTAAGCTCTGGGTATACAAATAAAGGAAGAACCATGTTTTGTGCCCTCAAGGAGCCCACATTCTAATGAAGGATACAACAAGCAAACAACTACGTACTTATAAGCTATAAACAGTTTAAATGTGAAGTAATCTCAGAAGAAAGGCACTGGGGGCTGGGGCAGAGGACAGGAAGAGGGAGAGTAGTGTACAGAAGAGATTTTGATTGAGTCTTGAAGGAAATTGGGAGACACAAGTAAGCAAGTAAGGAGGGAGACCATTCTAGGTTATGTAAGCCAGAAAATGAAAAGACTGTGGAGCTGGGAGATAAAAGTGTCTTATGTAAGGAACAGCAAGAAGGCCAGTCATTTAAGTAGAGTACATGGAAGTGAGTAAATATATGAAGACTAGAAAGGTAACAAGAAGTTAGATTGTGAAGGACTTTAAAAGGTAAATAGTGGATTTTATAAATGATCCTAAAAGCAATGGGAAGCCACTGGAGTTAACTGTGCAAGCGTGTGAGGGGAAGACTGGGAGGAGGGAGACAACATAATCAGACCTGTGCTCTAAGATGAACACTTACAACTGAGTGGAGGTTGTACTGAAGTAGAAAAAGAGTCAGGGCAAGGACACCAAACACAAGACTATTGTAACAGTCTACAAATGAGGGGATGAGGGCTTGTACCAGGGTGGTGGCTGTGTGCATGGAAAGAAAGGGACACACAACAAGTGATACTGTAGAGGCAAAAATGACAAAACTTGGCAACAACCTGGATAGGCAGGGGTGGGGTAATGTGAGTGAGGAGTCAGTTGAAGGTAACAAAGCTGTGAGTCTGGGTGGTGTGATAGGGACAGTAACATCTACTAGTGCTTTCCCATAGCATGGGTTAGGTCCAGACTTCCTTCCCTCTTGCATGTGGTTTAGTTTTCCCAAAAGAATTTATAGCTGTCACTGAGACCTGATTGGACCCTGCTTTATCTGACACTGCTTATCTAAGGGCATGAAAAGTCCCACCCATGTGGAGACTGTGCCTTTCAGACTTAGTGGGTACCTGAGACCAACTGAGTCACCATGAATGGGATGTCCCAGTGAAGACTTCTCAGTGTAATTAAGGTAATGAGTTCAGAAGGTAGGATAGGGTTAAGAATAGATTTCTGTAAGTTATTTTTTTAGTGCAATATATCAGTAGTTAAAATTTGTCTCGTGGTTAAGCCTTAACCCACTTTTTAATCTTATTCAAATGCGTCTTTGACCCTAAAAAGAATCTGGCTCCAGAAAACCCTTAAAAGGTTCCTTATCTACTCCCTTTATCTCCCTTTGACTGGACCTTACTCAGATGTCTTCCAGTTCTCTTCATTGTCTGTTCAATCCCTAAGACCTTGCAAAACAACTGTAAATTATCTTTTATGGTAAACTGGTTCCACAGTACAAAGTCTAGCCTAACTGCACATTTCTCATTGCTTCTTTGACATTATCTCAACAAACTAAGAAATCTAGAGATGTATGCTATGTCCTTTGTCTTATGTTAGAGTCCCGCGTGTGAGATTGTGAGCCGAATTAATGGATAGTTGGGGGAAGAGGGGGAATTCAACCATCAGGGTTATTTAAACTGACTTCTGCTTCTGCGTGTCACCTCCTCTCATCAGAGCCACTGATGTGGGGACACCCAAATCTTGAATTTGAAATGATAATAATAATAATAATAATAATAATAATAATAATAATAATTAACTTTCTGTTTCTCCTTGGACACCTCTGTGTTTTGTTTTATTTTTAATATGAGTGCATCCCACACACCCATAACTTGCCCTGATGACATGAGGCCCAGAAGTGTTTCCATAAGGAGGCAAAGGAGGCCACATCTGCCAAAGATGAAGATAAGTGCCATCGTAATTCAGTTGTATATCCTTGCTATGTCATGGTAAAGTAAACCTCCTTTATTTTGTAATCAAATCTGAACTTCTGAATCATACTCATCTTCCATCCCTTCCCCTCATAAATAATTATCAAGTTTTGTCAATTCTGTATTCAAACTTTTGATTCATCCCTTTTCTCCATTCATATGATGGTATGCCATACAATTTTAGGCCCTCACAACCTCTTGCTCGCACTGTTGCAACAGTTTTAATGGGACTCTTTTCCCAAGCTTCTTCTGTCTCTAATCTATCAACTGATGCTCCTCAAGCACATCTCTGATGTCGCTCCCCTAAATAACAACCTTCAGTGATTCTAGGATAAAATATAGAATCCTCTGCTTGGTATTTACAGCCTTTTACACTCTGCCTCCAGGCTACCTTTCCATTCTAAGTGGCTAATCAAATTAGTTTTATTTGCTGTTCTCAGAATTCAGCATTTCAATGCTCATCACTAAGCTTTTGAACAAGATTTAATAGTATCCTAGATTTTGAGCTGCAAGAGAACCTGGAGGTAAGAGCACAACCTTTTCATTTTACAAATGAGAAACCAGAACTAAGCAGGTTGAGTGACTTGCCCAAAGTTATACATGTAGTCAGTATGAGAGGCAGAATACAGGGCTTCTGAAAGAACCAGTGCTTCTTCCGACGTACCATGCCCACCAGCGGTAGGATTCCCATGAGTTGACTGTATACTTCCATGCCAGGAGAATGACAGGGAAACCTAATCTCAGTGGTTACAAAAACGTTCTTTTAGGAGGAAGTGGAAAGGCTTACATACTGGTATACACAATGCCTGCAACGGTTCTTGTACAAGTCATTAACACTATTGATTACAGTGTTCTTGACACTGAATTCACTGCATTTTGCAAGGAAATAGATATTGCCATGGTTCCTGGGACTGATCTGAGAAGAGGGTATACTGCCATATAATGTTAAAAATTAGACTATCTAAGCTAGACCTATACTCAAAAAACTGTTTAATTATGATAAACCATTTCTAGAACCACTGTCCTGTCTCAATATCACCTGGCCCCATAAATACAAATTATCACAATTTATTTGTCTGTGACTGAAAATGTTGTATAGTCACATTTCTCTCTATTCTCCACAAAAGTCCATTAAAGTGGTAAGGCAATCTGAAGAAATATTTCTTCCCCAATGAGGGAAGCAGATCTTAACTTCCACTTCAGTGATATAGCAGATAAACTGTTCTATCATCCCAAAATCATCTTCCCTTTTTTGCTTATATTCACTATGCTTCAAAGATCATCACTTCAACTTCCTTAATTTTTTACCCATTAATGAATGGGTAAATTAATGAAATCTCAACTCAAATTTCACCCCCTTCCTGCCTTCTACTTAAAAAAACAAGTAAGCAAACAAAAAATATCCTTGGTTTAACATTATCCAGCTCCTAGTTCAATTCAATTCAAGCATTTCTTAAGCACAATAAGGTGAAAATTGTAATGCTAGGTGTAAGAGATTCAAAAGATGAACTAAAATGTAGACCTCTGGAAAGTAATTTGGAACCATGTCCCTCAAAGTCACTAAACTGTCCCTTTCCTCTGACACAACTACACTAATAAGAGATCAAAGGAGGAGGAAGAATCTATATATACAAAAATATTTACAGCAGCTCTCTTTGTAGTAGTAGCCCCAAACTAGAAACTAAACGACAACCACTTAATGGAGAATGGCTAAACAAATTACAGTATATGAATGTAATGGAATATTGCTATGCCATAAGAAAGATAACAAAACAGTTTCAGGGGAAAATGCCTACTAAAATCCTACTCATCCTTCAAGACTCATTTCAAATGGATTTTCCTATGAAATTTGTCCTGCTCTCCTTAACTAAGTAGTGATCTTTCCCTCACTTGTTCTAATTGAACAGTCTGCATTGTTCATGTACTTACATCCTATGAACTAATGCAGCAAACTGAACAAAAGTGAAAGAACAATTTACGAATGATATCATTATAAAGAAAACCAACTCTGAAAAGGCTTTAGAACTTTGATCAATGAGTCTGATCAATCCTTATCCAGGACTGAAAATGGAAACATGCTACCTATTTTCTACCAGAGAGGTGATACTTAAAATGCTGAATAAGACATATAGTTTTGGACATGTCTATTGCCTAAATTTTTAGGCAATATCTATTGCTAAGCAATGCGTATTCATTATAGGAGTTTTATTTTTTAATTGTTCAATTGGGCGGGAATGTAAGATAATAAATGTGTATAAATAAAGAAAATGCAAAAAGCCCCACAGACCCTGTTCTCAAGAAGATTATAATCTGTCAGCTAAGGTAAAACACGTCCACAAAAAACTACAACACATTTTGAATATGATCAAAGCAATGTAGAGGCGAAAAGTACTTGGAGAGATTCAAGGAAGGAGACCTCATTCATTTCCAGTGTGAGAATCAGGGAGTAGGTACACCTAAACTGATTCTTGAAGGCAACAGACTGAATGTACCTCCATCAAGAGTAAGTTTTGATCTCCACTCAACAGGCAGAAATTCAACATGTGTTGCATGATTAGAAAAGTGCTTTTCTTCTATTTTTCTCGCAGCATCTCTCATCCTATTAAGAAAAAGGAACTCATTAGATTAAATTACAAATGGAACATTAAAACACAGTAAATTTATATTTCCCTCATTATATGTCACTAAGCTGTTAACTAAATTTTAGTTACTTTAGTTGCTCATTATTACTCCTCACCAATACATCCTAATTTCTAAACTTATTTATCCATGATTGCTCCCTGATGATTTTTCTTTTTTTTGCATCTTACTTTTATAGGTTATTTTAAAAGGTATTCAATTAGATTTTATGGATAATTCAGTCTCCCAAAGTTTGGCACCTTAGAGAAGATAATTATGTGTCCAAGTAAATTAATGATTCTCTTATTTTTATTCAAGATCGAAATTATAACACTTGATGTGTTTTCAAAGATTTCATCCTTAACAAATGTGAATATGAAAGAAGATAAGCACCAGTACTCAAAAACAGGATGCTTGAAGAAAAGAATCCTGGAATTGACTCCCACTATTAAATGTTAAGATTTTAAAATAATTTCTTCTCAGTTATGCATGAAAGTTATACTTTCATATTTTATTATACTATGACAACATGTTAAACACACACAAAACATATAACAACCCTTGAATTTAGAAGCAGTATAATTGTTGCTTTCATTTACCTTTTCTTGGAAGCACAATTGGGGTTCCATTTCAAGGAATAAAATCATCAGCACTGTGTATACTCACATCTTTCTAACAAACTGATCTGATTCCATAAACTATAAAGGCAATTATCATAATTTCTGATATGGTCATATAAGATAAGTAAGTATAAATATATACTGAAATGTCTGGCCCATAACATATCTTATGAAAATTACTATTTTTAAAGCTTTGGGTCTCGATAACTGGAAACACTACAATGATTTCAAAAGGTAGATGGCTGAGAAAACGTTCTATGTCTATAAATAAGACAAAACAACACTTTATTTATCATATAGGTGTGTATATTCATATAAAAATATTAATTTTCCCCTGGTGAAAAAGATAAAAATTTAAATGTTATCTTGTGGCTAATAGAGTTGTTAACAGCTTATACTGCCATGCTTAAACATAATGCAGTATATAACCTACTTTCATGAAACTTAAGTATTGCTATGTAATACATGCTAAATCCTTATTTTGGAAAAGGAAAGAATTTGAGAAATGTAAGAAAACTTAAGAGGTGATCTAGTTCAAATCTATTACTTTACAGAAGAAGAAACCAAGACCCAGAGATGTTAAAAGACTTGCCTACGGCCATATTGCTTGAGAGTCAGAGTCAGGATACGAACACAGTTCTTGTTTCTCAATCAGGATTCTTGCACTTGGAATTCTGCTGTGGTTATTTATTGTTAAATGGGACTGAAAAAACATTCCTCTAGTTCTATTCAATGGAATGGTTCTAAGAAAGAGGCCTGATAATGTAGAAATAATGGAACTATCTTCTAAGAATTCCACAGGGAACCAAGAAAACCAAAAGAAGTACATAATGTCTATAAACACGTGAAAATGTGTATACACACACGCATCTTATAGGTACAAACTCCATAAATAATGAAATGACACACTTTCTTCACTCACAAATACTCACTAAAGAAAATCATTTATAATTTTAACCTCAATACTCTTCCATCTTTTAAGTGACAGAGATGATAATACTGGAAAAAACAGACTGGTAAGCTAGGTTAGCATTTCTGTAAAGTGGCTAGCCACTTTCTTAAGTATATGAAAGCTTGGTTACAGTAAAGCAAAGCAAGGGAAAGTAAATGCATTAAATATTCCTAGGAATCACAGACATTCTCCAGGACTATATCCTAAGCAAGCTTTTTGTTTCCTCTAAAACAGAGGTTCTTAACCTTTTTTATGTTATGGACTGTTTTGACAGTTTGGTAAAGGCAATGGACTTCTCAGAATGTTCTTTTTAAAATTCATAAATTGAAGGAAATGCAAAATTCCATTTAGAGGTTTGTGAAAATAGAGATGTGATTTTGAACTTGGATGGGAATCTAAGTTCACAGACCCCCCTGGAATCTCCCCATGGAACAGAGGTTAAGAACTGCTCTAAAAGATAATCATGACCTGTCCAGTGTAGGTAGTGCCATGAAGCATAACCATATAAAGACTTCAAGAATACTAATGTGTTTTGAATAAATATGTTTTATTCAACTTTTGTCTCAGAGAACTGTTAACAAAGCACAAATCTCAGATATGCATGCCCCATTTAATATTATTAGGATAACAAATTAAGAAAGCTTAACCTCCTTCCTAAACTAATTGTATCTTTTAGATAGAGGAAAAAGATTTCACATGATAGTGATAGTCAAACACCAAAAACAATACAAATACAAGAACCAAATGCCTTTTAATGAAAATAATTTGTCAGTCCTTGTAGAACTGAGATGCCAGTCTTCATATACTGCTGTCTTCTTTTGATCAATAAATTTACTAACCTTTGCCGATTTTTAAAGATGCATGGTTGTTTTGACAAAATTCACTCAAAGCCTTGGAGAAGTTTAAGGCCATTAAAGTCAATTTCATCTCATGAATCCGCAGAGCTCTTCTTTCTTTTCAGAAGCAATGGGGTATAATCAGGGTAAATTGGAACCTTCACATCATGGAATACTGAGTTCCCAGGGGACCAAGCCGTGGAGAGGATTCTATTCCTGTTTGGAAGGTTTTTTGCAGATTACTAAAACCACGTTTGGCCAAAATGATGATGGGTGAAGAGGATTTCCTATTAGCTAATCTTCAATTTACATTTACACAGCTATATTTGAAGGACACTGCTGACGAATGATACATCAAACCCTTCCACATCATTTATAAGTTTTTCATAGACACTGACTAGTATTTGATTTTGAAATCAGTAAGATGGTCAGAAGCATCATCTTTATACATGAAATGTTACTTTCATGATCATATTTCTCATCAGGAATCTTATTAAACAAGATTTTGTAACAGTGTAGGCTAGGCATTATAATCTCTTTTAAATACTCTAAATCCAATACATATTTTTTCCTCCTCACAACCTCCCAAAGCTATTTTAGTTTTTTAAGTCTATGGTTTTTTTGTCAAGCTATATTCCACATGTCAGCATCGTATTCTTAATTTATCTGAGTAATAAAAGTCATGCTAAAAATAGTCATTAAGTCTCAACCACATCATAATGACTGAGAGTGGGCAGAGGTGAATAAGTGATTTAATACAGTGATTTAATCAAAACACATATATACAAATTTCTATTACTATATTTAACTTTTGTAATTATTAAATTTTAAGTAACAAATACTAGTTTAAAATTGTAAAACATGGAACCCACAGGGGAAATTTTGCAACTTGGGTCAAGAATATTTTAACTTATATTGGCAATATTGCTAACTGAACCTAGAATTTTAGAAATAATGTATTTTTCTCCTTTAGAAGCTTGAAAATTACATTCAAAACTATGAAGATTTATGTTAAGAAGTCTTATGTTTAGGTACCTAAATTGTATTTTTATTCCAATTCTACACAAGGCATTTGACTACATTTCTAGAATACTACTTCTGAATGATTGGCCCTACCCTTTGAAGTTCCAGAAAGATGTATGACATATGCTTGGGACTATGTCAGATCTCTTTGATATATACCAGAAAGAACAGGTGCATCTTAAGGGCTTCTCTATCTAAATCCCAAGATTATTTGTGTTTAAGTTACTATGATATTAAAACAAATGAGTAAATCCAATAATAATTACAGAAGCTGCCTATAAGATATGTAGGTAATGGCAGTCATGATAAAATATGGCACTAGTGCCTTTGATCATCCTTCTGCTTCCAGGTATTTCCCTTTCCTTTTCTTTTTGCCATTTCTTCTTCTTCCTTTTCTAGCATAAAGTTTCTAAAGTGAGGTCAGTGGTATGGCATAGTTCAGACACCAGAAGCTGGTAACAAGTGTTAGCTTAGCATGTGATAGAACAGGGCCCATACTTTGTTTCATAAAATAAGGTAATATTTATAAAGTGATTAGAATAATGCCTGGCAAGTGCATATAAATATTTTTATGTTTATTTTCTTTTATTATTAACAATTTTTGAGCACCCTTAATATATATGTATTTACGAATTATGTACCATGGACAGTTTGACTATCATGCATATGTAAAACACAAAATAACAATTAAAGATGAGATAAAATATAAAATAATTTTTATTTTGCTTTTTAATAGCTTACAAATTATTAATAATATTTGCAACTGAAAGTGTCATTATTTTCAAAAATCTTCACTTAAAAATCTTTGAAATGCATGAATTCAAAGTCCTGGTTCTAAGTTTAGATTATATTTCAATATTTCAATATTTGGTTCTAATGACTGTCACTGGTGGAACAGATGCCTCAGATTAAAGTTTTACAAATCCAAGTGGTAGAAGTGCATCCGTGCCTGCATCTATGCAAAGATTTTTGTTGACATTCAGCTAGTATATTTCCATTTTCTCTCATGTCAGTAAGTTGTACTTGCAGACAAATGTGAAATGGTTGCATCTTTCAACAAATGGCTTCAAAATCCACTGTGATTACCGGAAGACTTTTAAACATGTTGGGAAATTGTGCTTAGAGTTTTAAAAATGAAGATATGAGAATTTTGGCAGGTGATATATTTGGCAACAAAAGCAGTTTTTAAATGTCTTACTAATCAGGAAAGCTTCATACTACCATTAGCTATTATCTGAAGGCATAATACATACTTAGGGTGAAGTTCATTAATAAGAATAGATGTAAATCCATTTTTCAAGTAATCTTAGTGATAAATGAATTTTTTTGGCTGACTTCTTGTTAGATCTGATTATTCTAGTATTGCTTTTACATCATAATACGGCTAATGCAGAGTTACATACTGTAGAAGTAGAACTGTTATCTCTGCCATTTTCTTGTTGTTTACTTGTGTTGACATCATTAGAATTATTTTTGATGCGCACTTTATAGAAATACTTTTAGGCCACTTGCCTATTTGTAAGGGCTGTTATCAGTTAAAAATGAAATA